TCCTGTGATAGACTACTGATAGAAATCATGAAAATGTGCATTAGGAAAGAGACCCCAAAACCACTGAGGAGACATATTCATTTCTCTCTGGGGAGACAGAGATCAGAACATTACCTTATACACCCTCTCCTAATGTTTTCAAAACCAAACAGATTATGTGAGAGTATGTTGAAACTCTAAGGCTCTGCATTGAAATAGTCCTTAGCAACAGAGGAATTGGTGCCCAAAACTTTAGTACTCATGTTGGGCTATATAAAACAGAAGGACTTATGCTGCCCATCATTAAAATCCAGTGGTCAGAGAGAAAGCAAAACAATAAGAACAAGACTTACAATTTATTTGTTTTATGACCCCTCCCCCAAAGCAGGGACTACTGTGTCTACTTCCTCCTTGCCTCTCTAGCACTGCATCTACAGTGCCAGCTGCGCCTTGTTATTAAAAATATTACCTTAAGCTAGTGTCCTCAAGCTCTCTTTGACCTGCCTCACAACATCCATGGTCAGGGAAGCCTCTGATTATATCAGCATCAGGCACCTCTACCAGAGGAGTCCTGGCATGAAAAAGACGACAGTACTTTCCCAAGCTGAGCCCAGAAATGAGGGGAAAAAAAGTGGACACGACCTCCAATAGCCCCATCTATCAAGTGGAGAGAGGTTTCACATATTACTGACTAGTCTGCTTTTTGTTCCCTGGAAGGGCTCTAGCTCTGCTTCCCTGGTTCGTGTGACCCACAGGGGAGACAGGAGTGGAACATGACTCACTCAGGATCTTTTAGTGCCAACCTAATAGTTTGGACTCTCTGAGAGCAGCTTATAATGCCCATTTCTTGGTTAAAGTTTGCAATTCTATAAATAAGAGCAAGAACAAATTTTATTGCCTATTCAGATTTGTGATTAGATTTTGCAAAGAACTTGGGCATTCCTCAAATTAAGAGGAAAACTATCATTGTATTCATTCACTGTGAAATGAAAGCAGTCTTTGACCAAGTCTCAAGGGCCAGTGTCCCACTGACAGACTCCTTTCTCTGGAGGCAACCTACAGCATCAGTCCAACCCACAGAGTATAGCATACCCGGATCTACACAAAATCAGACAGGGGATCAGGCTTCAAGATCAGTATCCAAAAAAAAGAAAGAAATCTGAGGTAGGTCAATGGCATGATGACATCTCAGACCTAACTTTTCATGTCCCATTTATCTTTTGTAAAGCAGTATCATTTGCCTGCAATGGAAGTGTTTGTGGATGGTCAGGCTGGCCTTTCCTAAGTTTTCTTGAAATAATTTCATCAACCAGATAATATTGTGTCATTAAGAGGAGGAACTAATTTCTCTAACACTATATTAACTCATTGTACCCACTGTAGAGTGCCAATCTACCCTGTCAAGGTAGGAGTTTACTAGGATTAATTGACTGATTAATTTAATTACATTTTGAACATGGGCAAGGCTGTGCCAGGCCCTGTGATAATATGGTGACTTCTTCCATTCAATGGCAGTGTTGAGCCCATTCACATGTCCAACTCTATCCAAGCCCCTCTTTGTACTCTGGATATGTCAGCTATGCCATCCTGCTGCTTCCTCCTCCCCACTTCTTTTGTAGTTGAATTTCTGGGTGCCAGGTTTAGTCTGTGCCTCACCCACTCTGTCGTTCACCTGATAGGATGGTTATCTGGGAGTGGGCTGGTCAGATTCTCCCTCCTGGGCACTGGAGCAAAAATACAGGGAGAACTTGTCAGTTTGTCATGATAATGGTCCATAAAGATAAGTAATGAGAAAGCAGAAGATTCTCTTAGTAACCTGTGTGTCAGAGGTCAGCAAACTTTTGAGATGGAAGAGCTGCCAGGGGTCAGCAAACTGCAGCTCATGACTGCAGGCTCTGATATAAAATTGAAAATAAAACTATCATAGTTTCATTTATAAAATTTTTAAAGGATAATATTCACATAATGGTGATTATGCAAAAATATATTTATGGCCCTCGAATAATTTTTAAATTATTGTGAGGGACAGGATTGGCTCTTCCAGGGGGTTGGCAAACTTTTGAGACTGAACGTGCCCAAAGAGCCGCATGTGGCTTGCAAACCGCAGTCTGCCAACCTCTGCTATATGTGACCTCCTGGTGTTCTATGCCAAGACAACAACACGAAAAACAAGAAAAAATGAACCAAAAAGCCTTATTTTTCTCAAGGGAATATAATTCCTATTTGTTCAAAAATCAGTGAAAACTAAGGCCGGCGGAGTGGCTCAGTTGGTTAAGAGCTCGCTTAAGAGTTTGAGCTCTGAGCAACAGTGGTTTGAGTCCCGGCCGGAGCTGAGCAGCCACTGTGCTGCCAACAGATGGCAGGATGGCTCAGCTAAAAAAAAAAATCAGTGAAAACTATTTTTCTTCTTACTTTGACTTCCAATAAGCCCAGAACTAGATTATGACCAACCACAGGAACTTTTATTAGCCTTTGTTTGGGTTGTTATTATAGTTCTTGCTGCACAATATGCCTTTTGAGCTTTTATTGAAATACAATAATATTGTACAAACAACTACTCATGTGTGGAAGTTGAATACCCTAGGGGAATTGCATTATGGGAGAGTGAGTGCAGGTTACAGTGCTAATGGGGAAGTATACCTTCAGGAAATTAGCAGTGCCTCCAAAGGGAAGGTTTTAGTGGGAGATATGAGAAGATATGACAATGGTAACAGAAAATTTCCTGGAGACACTAGAGAGCATCCTTCCTGCAATCCTTGGTTATTTAGGTCAGCCAAGATGTCACCAAGTACATAGTCAAAAGGTGCAAATGACAATAGAATGGTCTACTTTTACAATCTAGGATTGACACCACTTGAGCCACCAAATCTATATACTCCCACACAGGTGTCATTCAGATATTGTTCCCTTTTCCAGCACATGGTTTATTGTATACATAATTTCAGATTCAGACAGCATGGAGAGTCCAATTTCTTTTTCTATTTACTAATGTACTTTTCCTTTTCTATCCACAGTTCTTTCTTATACTTCATTTTCTTTGGAAATGCCTGATCCTAGCAAGTGTTAGTGTCCTGCCCAAACACTCTGGGGAGGTGCTTCCTGGTTAGGATGGTATGCCTATCGCCCAGCTGCTGCAGGTGCTTCAGCTCATGACTCAGCTTGAACTCTTCTACTGCTTTGCCTCAAGGTGCCTGGGAGTTAAACTATTATATAACACCATTACTCCCCACATGAGGGGTACACAGTCTTACCCTCTTGCCTCAAAGCAGAACACCTACTGCAGCTCCTCTCCTCACCACTATCTCCCCATCCTGGATTTTTTTTCCTGAAATCATATTCTTGCGTGGCTCTTTTCCCTTCTCCAACCTACTTTCCTCTTCCCCTATAAATCACAGTACCCAGGAATTCTTGACTCCATTTCTGTTTCTAAGGAACCTGTCTAAGACATTGGTATAACCTACCTCGTTAAGGAAAATGTTAATACTTCAAAGTAAAATATTGTTTCTCCTATTTCTGTCTTTCCCTCTAGTTCAAGGTATTAGCCACAGCTTTTAAACTTCAGATTTTAAGAGCATAAGTGACTAATGTCTGAGTTCTATCAATTTAGAATTAATTGGTATCTATTATAGAAAAAGACCCCCAGCATTTTGGCCATAGAAGATATGGGGGTTAGGGTATGATAGAGATATGCTCCCCTCTCTCCTGAATGTTGCTCCTCTTCCTCCTGTCTTTGGGCTTTCCCATTGAAAATTTATTCCACTAGGTGTTGAAGGATTTCTGGGTCTCAGGAAGCTTCTGAAATACGTGTCCCTGAGGTTTTAGAAATACAGTTGACCCTTGAACAATGCAGTGGTTAGGGGCACCAATCCCTGCATGGTCAAACACCGCATATAACTTTTGACTCCCCCTAAACTTAATTATGAATAGCTTACTGTTAACTGGAAGCCTTACTTATAACATAGTCGATTAACACAATTTTGTATATTATATGTATTATATACTGTATTCTTAGAATAAAGTAAGCCAGAGGGAAAAAAAGGTGTTATTAAAAAAATCATAAAGAAGATAAAATATTTATTGAAAAAAAATCTGGGTATAAGTGAACCTGCAGAGTTCAAACCTGGTTTGTTTAAAGGTCAACTGTGAATTATTAAGTAGGACAACTGGACTTCTGGTTGAATGGGAGATAGGAATGCTGACTATGCTAAATGTAGCACATGTGCTTTGTGGCCAGAGAGTGGGGTATTGTGAAATACACAAGGCCTCATATCCCTATTTTCTTCAGTTTTTCTGGGGCTCCATACCATGTGGTTTTGTTTTTCTTCTCTATGATCCTGCTGTACCTTTCAGCCTATCACAGCTTTTGTTTGTTTGTTTTTGTTTTTTTAATAATGCAGTTCACCTGTGCTCATGCTGCAGTCCCCTACTAGGCTGCACCCTTCTTGGAGGAAGGAACCTTGTTCTTATCATCTTTTGATGTTCTCCACTTCCCAGCATGAATAAGACTTTCAATATATCTGTCATCAAATGAATGGAGCTGGCATTTTTGCTGTGTAAGATTGTATTGGGGAATGGGAGAAGAGGATAAAGTGGGTGAAATATATGGTAATGGAAGGAGAACTGACTCGGGGGTGAGCACACAATGTGATATGTAGATGATGTGCTATAGAATTGTACACTGGAAACCCATGTAATTTTACTAGCCATGTCACCCCAATAAATTTAATTTAAAAGAAAATAAAAAAGAAAGAAAAAAAGATGTATTGAATAGAACTTTTGAAGAGAATGTTTCAATTTAAAGAAAATTATAACAGAACATGGAAAGAGGATATATAGAAGGAACAGAAATGATTAAACGTGTATTATATATTACATGTTGGTATATTGAAATTAATGTAGACACTAAAAAATCTGCAGAGAGAGAAGAAAAATGCTGAATAGTGATACTAGTTAAATGAAGTCACACTGTGGTTAATTCAAAAATTTAATCATAAATTCAAGTCATTCTTTAAAAACCCTCACATAAAATCACACAAACCATTACTGGTGTTTGGAAACAGAGTTTTGTTGTACTTCACAGAGGCTGGTGAGACAATAAATCTTATTCCCTTGCTCTGATTTTTAGAGTTCCATGCAGAATGATAGCGAGGTATCAGCCATATGTTTCTCATATTCTTCATTAAATCGCTTGTTCTGAGCTTCAGTGAACTGATTTTTCCAATCTCCTATGACTCCTAAAAAGAGTAATGTAAAGCACATTCAATGATATTTTCATGAACTTTGACCATTTTCCATTTAGACAATCCGTTTCCTCTCAGTATTTAAATTCCTTGCATAGACATTAGCTCATTGTCCTCCTGACATCGATAAATGAAGCTACAAGTAAGATTACTCCATTTCACAAGTGAGGTATTTGTAAGTAGAAAGCTTTATTATGAAACCTTTGGGGAGAGGTGGAAATCCAGGTCATGATTCTCTAATTCTCTGCATTACACTCTTGAGCTCTCTGATCTCTCAGTACTTTTTGAACCCTCAGTACATCCAACATTCTATTTAAGTTATTACTTGGACCTAATTTTCTTATCTTCTCTTTACAGATCACTGAAGGGCTTATGTGAGTGGCTGTGTTCTCAGAACATTATCTGCATCTCTTATTTGTATCTCTAATTCAGGAAAAATTCATAGTCGAACACACTGAAAATTCTAATTTCCAATCTAAATTATCTTTGCTGTTAACCTGTAATTAAATTAAAGTAATAGAATATAAAGGAATGCAATAAAGTATTCAAAAGTTTCTGTTTTTAGCTTGCATAACTAAAAATGGCCAGAGAGCCTATAGAAAGCTATTTATCTTCTGATTGCCCATGGTATCTGATTCACTTGGGCTCTTCAAGCTGTGTAATGTTATTTTCATGTGTGAAGTGTAAGCTTGCTTAATTTTCTAGAGGTAATACATTATGTGTTTATATAATTTGTCAATTAACTTACAAGAAAACTAGGTGACTGAGTGACATCAGGAAAATGGTGGAGGACGTACCAGCTTTCGTCCTCCCACAAAAAACAACAATTAGGCAATTATCCATGAACTAAAACAGCCCTGGGAAGACTTCAAGAGTCCAATTAAGAACCAGAAGCAACACAATGGAGCAAAAACAGGAGAACAGCCATACAGAAAAGATTGCTAGAGATTGTCATAGCTGAGATGTCTGGAGATAGTTAGGAGTAAAGAAGGGTGGGGGTTAAAAATATCAGATATGCACTGGGTGCCACTGTAGTCCCCAGTGGCCTGCTCTGCAGAAAGCCTGGCAGCCTTTGCCACTGAGAACCTCAACAACCCTGTGACTACATAGATTCCCTGTAGCTTTCACAATGGAGGACTTCATGGTTTTTGTCAGCATGGACTCCAGTGGTTTGCTTTGTGAGGACTCCAGTAGCTCTCCTTACTGAGATAACAAATTACCATAGCCACCACAGACCCACTAGAGAGGGAGACACCGCTATGTACTCTCCTCTCTAAGAAGGAGCTGCTATTGCGCTACACTGACACAGTCACCTTCACTCACCTCAACCCCATGCATGCACTGAAACCCAGGGCCTTATCCATGCCGTACAGCCCACTCCCCATACCCATGCCCCATGTCTACTTCACATGTACCTATACTCAGAAATCCAGCTCCCTGGCCCCTCTATGAGCACCCAGACCAGAAATCACCAGTGCAACAAGTGTATCTGCACCCCAGACCCCAGAGCTATAGTTGCTCCACACATGCTTGCACTCTGGACACTGGCTTTACAACTAACTGTTCTGTCAGTGCCGACACCTAGGACACTCGAGCCACAACCACAGTGACCCCAGACCCTGGAACCATTGTAGCTCTATGAGGTCCCACACTCTGGACCCTGGTTCCATGGTTGCTTTACCTGTGGGAAAAAAAGAGATTGGAAGGACCCCAGCAGCCTTCACCACTGAAAATCCAACAGCACATGTTGCTGCTCTGGACACCTGCAGTTAGAGCTGCTGGGGACCTCTGCAGTCTTCATTGATGCTGACCTCAGCTGATGGAACTGTACACTGCTGTGTCTTCCTAGGAGCCAGAATAGCTGCAGGCCATCCAGCCAGTGACCCCACACCCACCCATAGGTGAAGGTCTTTCCTCACTGAAACCAAATCACAAAGTCTGGAAGAGGTGATTACTCCATCAAATGTACAGACATCAGCACAAGGTTGCAAAAAAACCAAATAAAACAAATAAACAAACAAAAACATGAAAAAATCAAGGAAAAAACGACACTGCCAAAGGAACACAATATTTTTTGCAATAGCTGACTCCAAAGAAATGGAGATCTATAAATTGCTAGATCGAGAATTCAAAATAATTATTTTTAGGAAGCTTAGCAAGCTACAAGAGAACACAAACAACTCAAGGAAATCAGGAAAACAATACATTAAAAAATGAGAATTTCAACACACAGATAGAAATCATAGAAAGAACCAAATCTAAATTGTGGAGCTGAAGAATACAATGAATGAAAAAAATAATGCAATAAAGGGTGTTGACAGCAGATCTGATCAATCAGAAGAAAGAATATGAGACCTCAAAGACACACTATTTGAAATTACCCAGTTAGAAGAATAGAAAGAAAAAGAATTAAAAAGAGTAAAGAAAGTCTATGGGATTTATGGGACACCATCAAGAGGACCCAAGTACAAATCATAGAAATACCAGAAGGAGAAGATAAAGAGGGAGAAAAGGGCAGAAGACTTATTTAAAGAAAATTCCCAAATCTAGGAAGAAATATAGACATTCAGGGAAATGAAGTTCAAAGATTTCCAAACAGGTTCAACCCAAAGAATTCCTTGCTGTGACACGTTGTAATCATACTGTCAAAAATCAAAGACAAAGAAATTTGAAAACAAGGGAAAAGAGACTATTCGAATACAAGGGAACCCCCATAAGGCTATCAACAGATTTCTCAGCACAGACCTTGCAGGTGAAGAGAGTGAGCTAATATATTCAGAGTGCAGAAAAACAAAAACAAAAACAAAAAACCTGTCAATCAAGAATACTTTATTTGACAAAGCTAGTCTTCAGGAATAAAGGAGAGAAAAGACTTCCCCAGGCAAACAAAAGCTGAGGAAGTCATTCACCATTAGACCAGCCATAAAAGAAATGGTAAAGGGAGTTTGTTAAGCTAAAACAAAAAGGTGCTAATCAGTAACATGAAAATATATGGGGTTTGACAATTAAGTTCACAAACTCATCCTAGTAAAAGCGTTACATACCTCATTGCTGACTATCACTATGGTCACCTTTGAAGTACTCCCCTTGGGAAGTTATGCACTGATGCCAGTGCATAGTCCATCTTCAAAGCAATTTTGGAACTCTTTTCCTGGAAAGGCCATCAGAGCTGTTGTCATATTAGCCTTGATGTCTTGAATGTCATCAAAATATCTTCCTTTCAATATTTATTTTATCTTCGGATAAAGAAAAGTCATTGGGGGCCAGATGAGGTGAGGTGAGTAGGGAGGGTATTCTAATACAGTTATTTGTTTACTGGCTAAAAACTCTCTCATAGACGGTGCCGTGTGAGCTGGTGTAGGTCATGATGCAAGAGCTAAGAATTGGCAAAAAGTTCAAGTTGTCTAATTTTTCATGCAGCCTTTTCAGCACTTCCAAATAGTAAACTTGGTTAACTGTTTGTCCAGTTGGTATAAATTCGTAATGAATATTCCCTTTGATATAAAAAAAGTTAGCAACATCGTTGCAACAAGTTTGTGAACTTAATTGTCGGACCTCATAGATGCAACATTTTTCAACAAAATATTAACAATCCAAATTCAACAACACATTAAAAATAATCATAAACTATAATCAAGTGTGATTTATCCCTGGAATGCAAAGATTGTTCCACATGTGCAAATAAATCAATGTGATACACCACACTAACAAAATTAAGGAAAAATGTCATATGAGCATCTCAATAAGTTCAGAAAAAGCATCTGACAAAACTCAACATTAATTTCTGATAAAAACTCTCAACAAATTAGATGTAGAAGGAATGTACTTCAACATAGAAAAGACCACATAAGACAAGCCCACAGCTAACATCACATTCAGTGGTGAAAAGATGAATGCTTTTCATCTAAGATCAGGAACAAGACAAGGTTGTACTTGTAACTTCTATTCAACATAGTTCTTAAAGTCATAGAACAATTAGGCAAGAAAAAGAAAGTAAAGGAATGGCTATTGTCAAAAAAGTTTAAAGATAAACTTGGGGTCCAAGATGGCAGTGTAGAAAAACCATGAACTCACCTCCTACTATAGACACACTGAATTTTCATCTGTATGTATAACAATTCCTCCTGAAGAAAAACTGAGGGTAGATTGAACAATTTATGCATAACAAATGTGAGAGGGTCCACACAGAGAAAGGCAGGAGAGATGGAGACACAGCAACCATGGGAATTCCACCCTCACAGGGCAACCAGCACTAGGGAAGGATATCATTGAGGGACCCATGCAAAGACTTGCCTGCCCTGGGGCACAATGATAAAACAGTGATTTAAAGGGCATCTAGACTACATGTAAAGAAAAAAACAATTTAATAACCCCGAAGCACCTGCCAAATAGGTGGGAAACTGTGAGAATCCTCTGGAATTGGAGGTCAGCAAACACCATTGTTTACATTCTTCTTCCACCTAGATAGCATGATCAGGAGCTCGATTCAAGTGCTCTAGTTGGCCTGCAAAGACACCACAGCATACCCCAGGCCAGTTCGTTTCGTGCCTGCTCCAGACCTGGCCTGCCAGCATGCCTGGGCACCCCTGGTGACATGCACTCCCGGACACCTCAGCCCGAGCCCACTTGAGCTCCAGCCAGCTGGCCTGCTAGGTAACTCCTGGCACTATATGCCTGCCAAATGTCATATGGCACATGTGTTCTACACAGAGGTTGCTCCTACACAAAGCCACTTCTTTCAGATCAGGAGAGAAGTAGCTGTTTCATCTAAATCATAAAAATTAATACAGAAATTCAAACAAAATCAGGAGCAATGGAATGTGTTCCAAATGAAAGCACACACATGCCCACACACACACATAAATAATCTTAATGAAATGGAAATAAGTAATTTGCCTGATAAATAAATCAAAGTAGTGGCCATAAGGATGCTAATTGAATTTAGAAAAACAGAGGAACACAGTGAGATCTTTAACAAAGAGCTCAAAGGTGTAGAAAAAAAGAAACAATATGAGCTGAAGAATACTACAGTAACTGAAATGAAAAATTAAACTAGAGACAATAGCAGATTAGATAATTCAGGAGAATGGATTGGTGACCTAGAAGATAAAATAGTGGAAATCATCCAATCAGAACAGCAAAAAGAAAAAACCTATTTTAAAAAAATGAGGATTGTTTAAGTACCTCTGAGACATATTGAGCATACTATAACTCTTATTATAGGGGCCCCAGAAGGAGAAGAGAGAGAAAAGGCAAAAATCTTATTTGAACATTTTCCTAACCTGGTGAAGGAAAGAGACATCCAAGACCAGGAATCACAGAGAGTCCCAAACAAGATGAACCCAAAGAGATTCACACCAAGACATATTACAATTAAAATGTCAAAAACTAAAGATAAATGAGAAATTTGAAGGCAGCAAGAGGAAACCAACTAGTCACATACAAAGGCAATCCCACAATGCTATCAGATGATTTTTTAGCAGAAACTTTGCAGGCCAGAAGAGAGTGGAAGGACACATTTAAAGTCCCAAAAGAAAAGAACCTACAATACTCTATCCCACAAGGTTATCTTTCAGCATTGAAGCAGAGATAGTTTCCTAGACAAGCAAAAACTAAAGAAGTTTGTCACCACTAAATGTTTTACAAAAAATATTAAAGGGTCTTTCTAAGCATAAAGAGTAAGCCATAATCAGAAATAACAAAATATGTAAAAGAAAAATATCTCATTGGTAAAGGCAAATATGTAGTAAAGGAAGTGGGCTAGCCACTTAAAAATTTAGTATGAAAGTTAAAGAACAAAAGTAGCAAAATCAACTATAGCTACAATAAATAGGAGATACAGAAAAGTGACATAAAAAAAATAAACATGAGCGAGGAGTAAAAATAACTGCCTTTAGAATGTATTCAAAAGTGAATGTCTATCAGATTAAAATAGACTGAACATATTGTATACATGTATATATTCATATATACAAACTTCATGGTGACCATACCATAAGCTAAAAACCTACAAAATATCCACAAACAATAAAGAGACAGGAGGCCAAACATAACACTAAAACACTTCAGCAAACAAGGGAAGAGACTGTGATAAGAAGAAAGGCTAAGAGAAGAACTGCAAAAACAACCAAAATAACAATAAAATGGCAATAAGTACATACTTATCAATAATTAACTTTAAGTGTAAATGGATTAAATTAAAAGACACAGAGTGGCTGAATGAATATAAAAAGAAGCCCCACTTATATGCTGCCTATGAGAGACTCATTTCAGATCAAAAGACACACAGACTGAAAGTGAAGGGATGGAAAAAGATATTCCATGCAAATAAAAACAAAAAGAAAGATGGTGTAGCAATACACATATCAGACATAATGGACTTTAAAACAAAGACTGTAATAAGAAACAATATGCATAATGATAAAGGTTTCAATTTAAGAGAAAGGTATAACATTAATAAACATTTATGCACCCAATATAGGAGCACCTAAATATATAAAGCAAATATTAACAGACAAAAAGGGAGAAATGGGCAGTAATACAATAATAGTAGGGGACTTTAATACCCTACTTACATCAATGGATAGATCATCCATACAGAAAATCAATAAGGAAACATTGGCCCTAAATGAGAAATTAGGCCAGGTGAACTTAATAAATATATGCAGAACATTTCATCTAAAAACTGCAGAATACATATTCTTTTTAAGTGCAAAGGGAACATTCTCCAGGGTAGAT